CACAACGACGACTACTACTGCCACTACTCTTGCTTTTACTACTCCTACTACCCCTACTACTCGTACTACTCCTACTCCTACTACTCCTACTACTACTACTACTACTACTACTACTACTACTCCTACCACTACTGCTACTACAACATCATTTCACGACAACACGACGAACGACTACTACCACGTACTATAACCACTGCAACTTTGCCTGGAGCCCGGAGCCCATGACCCCATCCTCGCAACATTTGAAGAGATTCCATAACGTTGCAAGATTCTAGACTATACGGGGTTTATACGTAGGGGGAGTTGTCAAGGGTTTATTCATATATATATATATATAAGGTTCGGGGTCTTAAAGGGGCCCAAAGAAAGGCTTTTTCTACGAAGTCACAGTACTACTACTACCCCACCCAAGTTACGTAAACCCACAAACCCATATCAACCTCATACGAAACATCGTCCTAGGACAGCCGGCTACGTATCGCCAGCTGCTGCTGCTACTGCGGTCGAATTCCTGCACACTCGAAGCCTCTACGTGGGACCTTGTCTGGTTGTGGGGTGATGGGGTAGTGCATGGTTTTTGACAAGCTCGGGACTTCGATCTAAGTTGAATTAAGCTTAGACCGTGGGTGCGGTATTTCGATCAGGAGCTCTGACACCTTAATTGTATAACCCGCAAGTGAACCGTACACTGAAGAGAACAAACCGTACAGAAAGAAGCCGCGCGAAGATACTTTATTCAAACCTCCCCAGGATCCGACCACCTGCTGTCGAGCTTTGGGGGACATCGTGTCGGGGTTGTCTTTACGGGCCTTGAAGGCTTCACGGCTTGATGTGTTTCCTAGTGACGGGATCTTCTAGCCTTGTTTCCACTTATCACTGTTGTTCAGACAGTAGCTGCAGCAGCAGCAGCTAGTGTAGTACTTGTTTTTGTCGTCCTCGTAGTCATAATAAAGTTATATAGGGGATATTGGCAGCAGTGGCAGCAGTGGTGGTGGCGGTGGTGGTGGCTTCGGCGCTAGTGAAAAAGCTTGTTGCTAGTAGCGGTAGTACTAATTAATAGTAGTCGTAGTAGTAGTAGTA